TTGGGTCAATAATCTAACACTTCCAATTGATTCAGTGTTCAAAGTTTGGCTTTACTTTTGATGGATATTTCTAGAAGCTCTAAGAAATTGTCCTGGAAGTAAAAAGTTATGAATATATCTTTTGCCTTGTTTGCTGATAAATTCTCAAAACAGAAACTTCTGGTCAGTGTGGTGGCTCACGCCTGTAATGCCAGCATTTCAGGAGGCTGAGGTGGGTGGATCACCTGAGATCAGGAGTTTGAGATCAGCCTGGCTAACATTGTGAAACCCCCGACTCTACTAAAAATACAAAATAATTAGCTGGGTGTGGTGGTGGGTACCTGTAATCTCAGCTACTCAGGAGGCTGAGGCAGAAGAATTGCTTGAACCTGGGAGGTGGAGGTTGCAGAGAGCCGAGATTGCACCGTTGCACTCCAGCTAGGGTGACAGAGTGAGACTGTCTTAAAAAAAAAAAAATCCCCCCAAAATCCAGAAACTTATAAGTCATCCAGCTATTTTGAGGTCTAGACTGTTTTTTGGGGTACTATTTTATGTAGTTGTTTTTCTGACACCTTTGTTATTTATTTATTTTTATTTATTTACTTTCTAGAGGCAGAGTCTCTCTAGATTGCCCAGGCTTGCCTTGAACTTCTGGATTTGAACAGTCTTCCCACCTCAGTCTCCTAGGTAGCTAGGACTACAGGCATATGCCTGGTCTTTTTCTACATCTTTAATATACAATACAGTGACTTCCACATACCAGTTTAGGACAGGAATACTTCTTGATTCTCCAATTACCAACTTGTCTTTATTGTTCTGTTTTTATTTTTAACATAAATACAGCAAATGATTCTTTCCCCTACATCTGATACCTTATATTTGATTAATATTGAACTAAATGGCCATTCTTTTTTTTTTTTTTTTAATTTCAGAGAGACATTTTTTTTTTTTTTTTTTTTGAGATGAAGTCTCGCTTTGTCACCCAGGCTGGAATGCAATGACATGACCTTGGTTCACTGCAACCTCTGCCTCCCGGGTTCAAGCAATTCTCCTGCCTCAGCCTCCAGAGTAGCTGGGATTATAGGCGCTTGCCACCATATCCAGCTAATTTTTGTATTTTTAGTAGAGACAGGGTTTCACCATGTTCGTTGGGCTGGTCTTGAACTCCTGACCTCATGATCTGCCTGCCTCAGTCTCCCAAAGTGCTTGGATTATAGGCGTGAGACACTGTGGTCAGCCTCTATTTTTTTTAAATTTTAACTTTTGTTTTAGATATAGAGGGTACATGTTCAGGTTTGTAACGGGTATATTGTAACCAGGTGGTGAGCATAGTACCCAATAGGTAGTTTTCAACCCATGCCCCCTTCCCTCCCTTCACTCCTCTAGTAGTCTGTAGTCTTTTCTTCCCATGTTTATGTGTTCTCAATGTTTAGCTCCACTTTTAAGTGAGAACATGTATTATTTGTTACATGTTCCTGTGTTAATTCTGTTCCTGTGTTAATTCCCTTAGGATTATGGCCTCTAGCTCCATCCATGTTGCTGCAAAGGCTAAGATTTCATTCTGTGTTATGGCTGTGTAGTATTCCATGATGTGTATGTACTACATTTTCTTTAGTCCACGTTGTTGGGCACCTGGGCTGATTCCATATCTTTGTTATTGTGAGTCATGTGGCAATAAACTTATGAGTTTCATATGTCTTTTTGTTAGAATGATCTATTTTCCTTTGGGCATATATGCAGTAATGGGATTACTGGGTTGAATGTTAGCTTTGCTTTCAGTTATTTGAGAACATCTGCAAACTGCTTTCCATAGTGGCTGAACTAATTTACTTTCCCACCGACATTTTGTAAGTGTTCTCTTTTCTCTGCAGCCTCACCAGCATCTGTTGTTTCTTGACTTTTAGTAATAGCCATTCTGACTGGTGTGAGATGGTGTATCTTGGTGGTTTTGATTTGGATTTCTCTGATAATTAATGATGATAAGCATTTTTTCATGTTAATTGGCCACTTGTAAGTCTTCTTTTGACATATGTCTATTCATGCCCTTGGCCCATTTTTTAATGGGGTTGTCTTTTGCTTCTTGATTTCTTTAAGATCCTTATAGATTCTGAGTATTAGGCCTTTGTCAGTGCATGGTTGGTGAATGCATTCTTTCATTCTGTAGGGTTTTTGTTTACTTTGTTGATAGTTTTTTTTGCTGTGCAGAAACTCTTTAATTAGGTCCCATCTGTCAATTTTTGTTTTTGTTGCATTTGCTTTTGGAGACTTAGACAAAAATACTTTCCAAGGCTGATGTTAAGAAGGGTATTTCCTAGGTTTTCTTTCAGGATTTTTATAGTTTGAGGTCGTACATTTAAATCATTAATCTGTGTTGAGTTAATTTTTGTTTATGGTGAAAGTTAAGGAAGGGTTCAGTTTCATTCGTCAGCCTATGGCTATATAGTTATACCAGCATCATTTATTGACTAGGGAGTCATTTTACCATTGCTTATTTTTGTCAGTCTTGTTAATATCAGATGGTTGGAAATGTGTAGCTTTATTTCTGAGTTTTCTATTTTGTTCCATTGGTCATTGTTTCTGCTTTTGTATTAGTACCATGCTGTTTTGGTTACTATAGCCATAGAGTATAGTTTGAAATGGGGTAGTGTGACACCAATGGCTTTGTTCTTTTTGCTTAGGATTGCTTTGACTATTTGGCCTGTTTTATGGGTCTATATGAATTTTAGAATTGTTTTTTCTAATTCTGTGAAGAATTAGAATGCCATTGAATCTGTAAATTGCTTTGATAGTATGGTCATTTCAATGATATTGGTGCTTCTAATTCATGGACATGGAAAGTTTTTCCCTTTATTTGTGTCATCTCTGATTTTTTTTTTTTTAGCAGAATTTTATAATTCTCCTTCAGATCTTTCACCTGTGTGGTTAACTGTGTTCCTAGATATTTCATTTTCTTTGTGGCTGTTGAAAATGGAAATATGCTCTTGACTGTCAGACCGGTGCATCTAAATTTTGTACTAAGTTTTGCTACTGATTTTTGTACATTGATTTTATATCCTGAAACTCTGCTAAAATTACGTATCAGTTCTAGTAGCCTTTTGACAGAGTCTTTAGGGTTTTCTAAGTATAGAATCATATCATCAGCAAAGAGAGATAGTTTGACCTCTTCTTTTCCTATTTGGATGCCTTTTATTTCTTTTAATTGCCTGATTGTTCTGGCTAAGGCTTCCAGTACTATGTTGAATAGGAGTAGTGAGAGTGGACATCTTTATCTTGGTCTGAGTCTCAAGGGGAATTGTTTCAGCTTTTGCCCATTGAGTATGATGTTGGCTGTGAGTTTTTTTCATATGGCTCTTATTATTTTGAGGTATATTCCTTCAATGCCTAGTCTGTGGAGGGTTTTTTTAATCATAAAGGGAAATGTTCGATTTATAAAAAGCTTTTCCGTGTCTATTGAGATGACATATGGTTTTTGCTTTTAATTCTGTTTATGTGGTAAATCACATTTATTGATTTGGATATGTTCGAACCAACCCTGCATCCCAGAAATAAAGCCTACTTGATCATGACGAATTAACTTTTTTATGTGCTGCTGAATTCAGTTTGCTAGTATTTTGTTGAGAATTTTTGCGTCTGTGTTCATCAGGGATATTGGCCTGAAGTTTTCTTTTTTAGTTGTGTCTTTGCCAAATTTTGGTATTGGGCTGATGCTGGCTTCATGGTATGAGTTAGGGAGGAGTCCCGCCTCCTTGATTTTTTTGGAATAGTTTCAGTAGGATTTGTACCAGTTCTTCTTTACACTTCTGGTAGAATTCAGCTGTGAATCCATCTGGTCCAGAGCTTTTTTTGGTTGGTAGGTTTTTAAAAAAATTATTATTGATTCATCTTCAGAGTTTGATATTGGTCTACTCAAGATGTCAATCTCCTTCTAATTCAGTCTTGGGAAACTGTGTTTCCGGGAATTTATCCATTTCCTCTAGATTTTCTAAGTTGTATGGATAGAGTTGTTTGTAGTGTTCACTGAGGATCTTTTGTATTTCTGAGGGATCAGCTGTAATATCATCTTTGTCATTTCTTATTATACTTACTTTCATCTTCTCAGAGACATTCTTACCAAATTCAAGGTACTGTCCAAATAATGCTAATGGGACTATTTGGCAGGAAATGCTATTTTTTAATAAGTACACTCTTGTCCTAGGTGGTTTGAGTTGCTATAACAAAATACCGTATAATGGGTAGTTTAACACGACAGAGATGTATTTCTCATAGTTTAGGAGGCTGGGAAATCCAAGATCAAGTCTGGAAGATTCAGTGTCTGTTGAGGGCCTATTTCCTTAGGGATGGCAATCTTCTCAGTCTATGCTCACATGGTGGAAGGGGTAAGGAGTCTCTCTTGGGGCTTTTTTATAAGGGCACTAATCCCATTAATGAGGATCACCTCTCAAAGGCCCCACCTCCTAATACCATGACATTGGGGATTAGATTTCAACATGTGGACTTTGGGGAATGTAAGATCTCAGTCCACTGCATCCATCTCCAGCTTTAAGTGGTGGGGCATGCTGTCTCCTTTGCTATCAGAATACCTTCTATCCTTGTTTATTAGAGGACTTTGCTTAATATTGTGTTCATTTGTCATTCTTAGAGGATTGAATCTCTTGAGAACAGCATCCAGCCTATATGATTATTTGTTGTACAAATGAATGAAAACAAAAATAAACAACATGTGGCAAACTTTCGCTCACCTTAAGAGGTACCATCATGTGCTGGTTTAGAGGATGAACTCTGAAGCCCAAACCACGTGGATTCAAGTCTTGGCTCCCTCATTTAGTACCTGTGTGTCCTTAGACAATTGTGAATCATATTGGTGCATCTAAGTTGTGTCTTTTCAAATGTGGAGATAACTGTAGTTCCTAACTCTTACCATTATTATAAAGATTAAATGAGGTTTTATATACAAAGTGCTTGTAACACTGCCTATATACAGTAAGTACTGTTGCTGCTATTGCTATTATCCTTTTTTTTTTTTTAAATAGCTATGACATGGAATAGTATGTGCCCTTAGAAGATTCATTCTGGAATTCAGTTCTTAGGGTGCCAAAATGAAGAAGTGCTTTGTCTCTACTTTGGGTTCAGGAGCCCCAGAGTATGGGAAGTGGAGGTCCTCAGGATATCACGCAGCTGAGGACATTTGTATTTTTATCAGTTGTCAGGCTGCCGAGGCTCATGGGGAACTAATAAACAGCCTTTCCTTTTGGTTAGAATATCTCTACTCCATATAGCAACTCTTTTACCTCAGGCTGGTTGTGATTCATCTTAATTCAGAGGACAAACAAATTAATCATTAATTAAGTTATGAAATCTTTAACAACAGTGATCCATACAAGAGATACTAAAAGGGCTGTGGGTGATAAACAGAGGAAGCAGGCAGGATTGAAAGATTTTTGAAGTCTTCTCTAGCAGGAACTATTTAATGATTTTTACTCTTTGTATTTTTTTAAGTGTTCTGTTTAATATTTAATATGATTGTATCTAGCTGTTGGCCTCATATTTATCTTTTAGTCCCCCTGCCAGCATTTTATTATGCAAAATTTCCAGTATACAGTAAAAATAAAGGAATTTAAAAGTGAATACCTATATGGTCAACATATAACATTAATATTTTGCAATGCTTGCTTGATCACAAAGCTGTACAGGTATCCATCACTATGTACACCCCCAGCTACTTTATATTTTTATATGCTTGATTAGGTTTATTTTATTATTTGATCATCCATATGAGAGAAGTCAGTGTTTTGTACTCATCCTCCAGAAACTAATAGTGGTAAATAAATACATGAAGCAATGCTTTTTAAGAGGTATGGAGTAAAAATTGCTCTCGCTGGAAGGATTCTTTAAGAATCAAGGTGAGGCAAGGGGAAGAAACGCGTAGGTGGAAAAATAAGCCCTTGGGAAAAGAATTCACTATATTAGATAACTCATTAAAATATTCTTTTTGATATGTTAGGTTTTTAGTTTCACTTTGCAAGCTATGCAGGCTCAGCTCTTCTTGTTTCCAGTAAATGGCAACATAACTGGGGCAGAAAAGGAGCTAAGTTAGTAAAATGTTTTAAAGAAAATCCTTGAAGGTTGAAGGCCAACAATCGCATAACACTAACGCCTAAGATAACAGTTTGGGGCAGCTTTACTTCCTCTAGATAAGTTACTACATCGAATCGCCTGGCTTTCCTGTTCATCACTGGTATAGAATCCACAATACTAGTTCTTTTGGAGTTCTGAAGGCAGCTGCAAAGGGCATGCATAGGTCATAGGGCAAAATCATGACTCAAGAGAAAGGCGTAGTTACTTTGTTCTTCATGAGCTATGGAAATGCACACTAGAAAGCCGTACTTGTTTTGGAGGACGGTTTTTGGTTGCTGCTGTTTTCTGGCAGTTCATGTTTACTAGAAACAGAGCAGCAAAGTTATTAATAAACATTTATCTCTTTCACTTTCAGTTCACTTCTTTAATTGAGATGGACATGATATAATCTCCATTGAGTCAAAGAATGGCATCTAGTCCTGAGCTTCCCACTGAAGATGAACAGGTTTCCTGGGGCATCGATGATCTCCATATTTCATTGCAAGGTAATTAAGATTGGGTCGGGGTAGCACCCACAGAAACTGGAAACCTTATTCTTACCTAGCTGCAAATCATACTGATTTCTGTCTCTCCTATGGAGATAATTAAATATATCTGTATTTTTCCAGCTGGAGAAACCTTTTAGTATACTTAAATGTCTTTATTGCTGTCTTAGCTCTGTGGGAAAGTAAGGAATACCTGGAAGGAATTTACTATCTCCAGTTTCTTATTGAGCGTATGTATTTTATTTGCAGTGAAAATTAAATAGTAACCCACAGTTTACTTGGCATTGTTTGTGCTTACTTCATATCTTCTTGTATAGCTTCTTTTAAATGCACATCCTTGCCGGGCACGGTGGCTCATGCTTGTAATCCCAGTACTTTGGGAGGCCGAGGTGGGCGGATCACCCAAGGTCAGGGGTTCAAGACCAGCCTGAACAACATGGAGAAACCCCATTTCTACTAAAAGTACAAAACTGGCCAGGTGTGGTAGCACATGCCTGTAATCCCAGGTACTTGCGAGGCTGAAGCAGGAGAATTGCTTGAACCCGAGAGATGGAGGTTGCGGTGAGCTGAGATCGCACCATTGCATTCCAGGCTGGGCAACAAGAGTGAAACTCTGTCTCATAAATAAATAAATGTACATCTTTATTTTTCCGATAGGAAGAGAGGTAATATCATGAATGAATAATCTTTCAATCATGTGAATCATGTGTCCATGTGTATAAGTGCTGTCATTTTAAAAAAATGTTTATTCTGAAGTTTGGCAACATTTGTGTTGTATTTTGAAAATTCACTAGCCACTAGACCTTCTCTTTGCTGATAAAGCAAATGTTGGAGTTGAGTAAAGTTAGCTAGTATACAAGAAATAAGGCTATAGCAGGTCTTTGAAAATGTTTATGGAAATATGTATTTTAAAGTAATTTTAAGATTATGGGCAGTATTATGCAGCATTTTTAGAATGTTATTAAAAATCATAGATCCTGAGTCATTTATGGTAAAGATGCCAAAATTACTTTTTTTCTGATATTTTCCTTTAAACTAAAGATCTGTTTTGATGGCATATTGAGTGATTTGGCAAAAAAACAAAAACAAAAACAAAACCACCCTGTTTTGAGTCATTTGCTTCTATATTTTGAGTTGAGATGGAAATCAGTAGCTGTTAGAATAGACAGTATCTGTATGTATCAGCCTTTTAAAAGTAACTATTGTATAATTTGTGTAGACTAAGAAACAAATTGTTGAGAGGTTATACTTGAGGTAAGAATTTTAAAAATTTTTAGTAAGGACTAAAAAAATAGTGTCTTAATACACAGATGTATTTGGAATCACGCATTCATTTAACTGGAAAAAAATTCTTGTTTTTCTATGGTATTTTGGTTGCATGTGAAGTTTTGGCTGCAATAAATAGGTAAATCAGATTTCTAATACTGACTCTGCCAATCATTAGTTCTTTGAACTTGGAGGAGAGATTTCATCTTTTGAGTCTCAGTTTCCTCATTTGTAAAATGTGAATGAGAGTGCCCACACTGCAGCTGCATCTTGAAGATGAACAGTAAGAGAGACAAAGGGGCTTAGCAGAGTGCCTGACACAGACTAGCGACTCAATATGTACATCGAACTTTCTTTTACTATGTTTGAGGTCAAAAATCTTACTCTCAAACTATTGCTTGTCCAGGGGCACATGGCTGGAGTAGAAACTTAATGGTATACGGGAAAAAAGTGTAAACCAGAAGTCTGGTTTTTCTCTGCTTTTTCTTTTGTTTGTTTTAACATTTCTGTTCCGTGGCTCCCTATCACATGTGGGATGACGTCCAGACTTCTTGGTGTGGCTCAGGCTTTTGCTGGTCCAGTGCTTGCCTTTCTCTCTGCTCTTATCTCCCACCGTGCCTCATATACACTCTGTGCTCCAGACCCACAGTTCCTTAGGGGGCCATACTCTTCCCCCTCGGCCAGCCTGTGTGCTTTCATTTGGGTTGTTTCCCTTGTAGCTCCCCTCTCCCCGCCTCCTTCAGCAGCAGAAGTCATCCCCATCCATCCTTCATACATCCCTTATCCATCCCCAGGTCAATTAGAATCAGCTTCCTCTGTGAGCCCTGTTCTCTCTTAGGCTGAGATAACGTGCTTCCTCCTGTGTTATCCCATAGTATCTATTTGAGCACTTACAGTATTATAATTATCATACATATCAAATAATATTTTCTTCCCCACAATAGAGTGAGCATTTTGACTTTTGTGTAGCATGCTGTAACTTATGTAGCACTTTTGCATACATCATCTCATTTGATCCTCACAACCACATCATGAAGTAGATTTAAAAAAAATCTTTGACAAGCTGAGAAAGAAGCTGTGGCTCAGAAAGAATGAATTACTTGCCGAGAGTCCCAGAGCTAGTGAGCAGCAGTTTTGACTAGGAGGACAGTTTTTTTTGTATTGTACCATACACTAGTTTGAAAGAGGGAGTTCCCTTAACAACTTTCTCTGGAAAATGTATTAAATCTTAGCCTTAACCTATTCAATCCACAGCAAGTTTTTACGTCCAGAATATGGATGGACATCTTCAAGTAATATTAGTGATCTCAGGCTCACACATAGCTCAAAATAATTAGCAAATTACTGAGAAATGAGTGGTTTCTTATAGCATGTTTTGAATTATAGTAGGTTATACAATCTGCTTTACAATTGGAGAATAGTATGGGCTATTTTGCAATGTAAATATGATATACATGCACTGATCAGTCTGGACGATTTCCTTTCATGATGTATTTAGAGAAATCGTGGGGCTGGACGCATTGCTCTGTAGGGGGAAGGTGGAAAGCCAGTACTATAGTGTTGAGGTGACACTGGGCAATCTGTTCACATTAGCCAGGTACCCTCAAGAGATACCAACCACAAAGTTCCCATGCCTATAAGATGAAGGCTTTATGGTGAAATGAATAGGTTTCCAAAAGTTGAGTTCCATATTGTTATCAGTGAATTTAGAATGATTATTTCAGCCTAAGTTGTTGAAGGAAAGAAGAAAGGGAGGGAGGAAGGAAGAAAAGAAGGCAGCCACTTGGATGTATTTCTGAAGGCACCTTTGCTTTCCTAGCAGGATTATTAGTTATTTGAGAAAAAAATTGATGGACAATATTATCTGCATGAAGAACTACTGAACTAAAGGCTGTTGGTGGTAGTCTTGACACTTGGCATTGCACACACAGCAAGCAGACTCGTATTTCGCAAAATTCACATGTGCTTAATGATCCTTGGAGTAATAGGAGAAAAGAGATTTCATGTAATATGAGAGGCTCAGGATCACTGCTCTTAAGAAAGTTTTTATTTTTCTTTGTTTCAGAACCGTTTTTAGAGGCGGATAGAGACAGTAGAATGGCCTAATTAACTTATAAAACCTGCTTTATCAAAAACTTAATCTAAGGTGAGACAATTGTGGCAACACCCTTGTTGCAATTTCTTGCAATTGTGCAAGAAAAGATTAAAATGTCTGAATTGAAATGTAGTGATTCATCATTGATATATAATGAAAGCAGATAGCCCATATGTGCGGGGCCTAAAAGAAATCAGCCCTAAAAATAAGGCAGTGCTTTGCTGAAATTCATAGAGCAGGACAATAAGCAAGTGACTTCATCTTTCTTTTCATTGACTTTTTGTGTGATCTTTGAGAAAATATAAAGCCAATTTGAGGGTACCCTCCCTCTTTTTTTTTTTTTGAGAGAGGGTCTTGCTCTGTCACCCAGGCTGGAGAGCAGTGGTGTGAACATGGCTCAAGTGATCTTTACACCTCAGCCTCCCAAGTAGCTGATACTACAGGTACACATCACTGCGCCTGGCTTTTTAATTTTTTGTAGAGATGGGGGTCTTGCTGTGATACCCAGGCTGGTTTTGAACTTGTGGACTCAAGTGATCCTCCTACCTCAGCCTCCCAAAGTGCTGGGATTACAGGTGTGAGCCACCACACCTGGCCCTGAAAGTACTCTTTATAGGTAGATATTTATGTTTTCTGTATCTAGTGAAGAGAATGGTATTAGACTGGTTAGGAAGAGAAATGAATGGTATTTATGAATTTGAGTGGGTTCATTTAAAAATGGAATTCATTTAGTTTAGTGCATTCTCTATTACTCTGGGCAGCCCACATTTTACTTTATTTATTTATTCATATATATATTATATATATATTACATACATATAAAATATATAATATATAAAAAAAATTTTCTTTTTTGACAGAGTCTCACTCCGTTGCCCAGGATAGAGAGCAGTGGTGCAACCTCAGCTCACTGCAACCTCCTCCTCCTGGGTTCAAGCAACTCTGCCTCAGCATCCTGAGTAGCTGGGATTACAGGCAACTGCCACTATGCCTGGCTAATTTTTGTATTTTTAGTAGAGACAGGGTTTCACCATGTTGGCCAGGTTAGTCTTGAACTTCTGACCTCAAGTGATTCACCTGCCTTGGCCTTCCAAAGCGTGGGGATTACAGATGTGAGCCACTGGCCGGCAGACATTATTTTAAATGATTTTGAGATATGGAGATTCAGGCTATTAAAATGATAATAAATGGTTGTTTAAAAATTTTAAAATTTAATATAGTTTTAAATTTAAAAAAATTAAAAAAAATATATGGGGAGGATCTTGCTAATTTGCCCAGGCTGGTCTTGAACTCCCGGCCTCAAGCTATCCTCCCACCTTGGCCTCCCAGAGCACTGGGATTACAGGTGTGAGCCACTGTACCTGGCCATAAATGACTATATCTAAACATTATTTGCTTTACCAATATGCCCTTTATATAATTCCTTTAAATCTTTCCATTTGGATTTCTTCCTTGGCAAAGTAATAGGTGCTTCCTTATCTTTGATCCCAAGAAAATAATAACTATAAACTTTGTCAGAAACAACATCTGTGCTCAGCCCTTTGTGTGAGAAAGGTATGCCCAGGGAACAATTTTTTTGATGTATTGGATAGATATGATTATAAAAGCAGTGGGGGTAAAGTTGGATAAGTATCACAGG